TCGGTCAGTTTGGGCGATTTAAAGATAAAATCATGAACCAAATCAATTATATCGGTTTTAAAATTTTAAAATTCAAATCAATTTAATTTTATATCGGTTTGGATCGGTTTTTGATTGGATTGGATCAGTTTAGATCGGATCAATCAGATTGGATCGGGTATGAACACCCCTACTAATTTGTATCCAAACAGAGGCTAAATCTAAAACAGGGATGGATTTGATAGGGAAATTATGGTATAAGTCCAAGGGAGGCGCTTAAGTCACTTAACTGAGTTCTTGAATGTTCTTTTAATTTGTACACCCTTTGTCATTTAGGCTGACTAGAAGTTTTAAGGGTAATTATATTCTGTGTCTTTTTTTTTTTTAATATTGTAAAGCTAATTATTTAATATTATGGAGGGTTAAACTTTTAATTTTAACTTTTTTTTGAACAATTTTGACATTATTTACAGATATATATGGGGGAAGCGGGAAATGAGTTTCATGGGGCTTGAACAACCATCCACAAAGGTAAACAACTTTAACTCAGAGTCTAATGTCACTGGATCGAAATGAGCCATTCAAATTTTTAATTTTAAATTTAAATTAAAGCTTTTATTAAATTAATATGGGTACTACCTCAACAAAACTTATATTAGTATTATGTTTTATTTTTATTGTTTTTGTAAGGTGATACTTTTGCTCACCTTGTAATGAGCATAAACACTCCTACTTCAATTAATAATAATTATTTTTGCTGATTAAAAGAAAAAAATTTATACTCCACGCAAACTTGAACTTTTATTTTTGGTTAGCATAGGAGTTGTATTCACATGTTTCGACTCATCTTATCGACAAGTCTGATTTATATGAGTATATGGTTAGCATAAACGAAAATATTCGTTGAAGAATCTCTATATCACACTACGTGATTGTGTTTGGCAGAAGTGATTTATAAGTATTTTCAGTGCATCATTACCTTTAGTAGCGCTATCCAGCATGCTATTTCAAGCGCCTGAGCAGCTTCATCAATAATAACCAAATTAAATGAACTATTCTCCAATTTGTGAGAAAATGCAGCTGTCAAAGATTCCTAAGCTCTTTCTGGACATCTCTCGTATTTCTGTCTTTGGTTTTCAATAACTTCTTAACTTCTCATTTAGTGCCTGAAGAAATGCAGTGAGGCATATTATTATTACATTCTTAATTATTAATATTATATTTTATTTTAATTAATTATTATATTCTTTTAATTTATTAAAAATAAAAAATAAAATTTTTAAAAAATATAACATAAAAATAAAATTAATAATAATATTAAAATAATATAATATTAACTATTTATAGTAAAGAATAATCCCATCATTTAGACCGTTGTTAATTATCTCAACAATAACATAAATAGAGTAGGATAAGAGAGTAAAATCAATATATTTTTTTTCTTTGTTTCTTCTTTTTTTTGTTCATTTATTTATCTACCTAGAAACAAAAGTAATAGTAATTTTATAAATTTAAAAATTTATAAATCTGATGGGACAAAACGTTGCAGATCCGGGGTCCTCCTTTTTCGGGAATCTGAGACGAAGATGACAAATGGGGACCATTGTGGGCTTGCTGAGGCATCTTCACGTGGGCGTGTGTCCTCTTCTTCGAGTTAAGAAGATAAACGGAAGGCACGGGTAGAGCGTCGGGAAAAAGACGACCGCGTTCAGTGTATCTACCTAGCACCAAAAGATCAAACCCAATAAACTAATTTAAAAAATACTCAATACATATTTTTTTCAAAGGCCTAAATTTTATAATTACTTCTTAATTTTAGGCCTAAGTCAAATGACTAATTGCTGGCTCATATTTTTGTTGGCAAAATACCCAAATCCACCCCCAAAGTATAGTGGCAGGGACCGATCCACCCTCGAATAAAAAACGGGGACAAATCCACCCACAAAGTTTTCGACTTGGACAAATCACCCCAAATTTAACGTGTGACGTCATTTGACATCAGCAATTCGTTAATTCGTTAACGGATTGCTGACGTCAGATGACGTCAAATTAACAGATTGCTAATGTCAAATGACGTCACACGTTAAATTTGAGGTGATTTGTCCAAGTCGAAAACTTTGTGGGTGGATTTGTCCCTGTTTTTTGTTCGAAGGTGGATCCGTCCCTGCTACTATACTTTGGGGGTGAATTTGGGTATTCTGCCATTTTTGTTTAAGGATTAAAACTTCACTCTTCATTTTAGAATAATAAATATATTTTATTTTTATTTTTTAGGTTTAAGTACCATTTTGGTCCCTCAACTTATCACTTTGGTACCAAAATTGTCCCTCAACTTTAAAAAGTACCAAAATTATCCTTGAACTTTCATTTTTGGTACCAAAATGGTCTTTCGTCAGTTAAACGCCAAGTG